TGGTCCCAAAAAATCAAACACACGTGTACACATTTCATCCCACACACACACACACATACATCCCTAACTTTCATCAACAAACGGAAATAAACAATATTAGAAGGAAATCATGTTTTCAGGGTTAATAACCTTTGCTAAGACGACTAACAAATTCCGAACAACAACATCCGACACAAAAAGACAAATTTCTTAGAATCGAAGGAAGGAAAGAAATTTGGCAAAAAATAAAGTTCACAATAAGAAGTCAGTCAGGTCGGATGGCTGGCAAGAAGTCAGCACTGTCACTTTAACACATTCCCAGGTGAAATACATTACAAATGTTTCCCAAAAATTCCTATGGAGTTAAGGTTAGAAAAGGCAAGGGGTGGTATGGGGAGCATATATATCATTTATTCTTAAAGATTTCTTGTCTACCCCCCGTGGAGTGGGGAGGTATTTTATCAGTTCCATTTGTATTTTTTTTCTTTTTGGTAATTGCGTGACTTGTTGGGTTAAAGCCGCTCGATTTGCCACAGTTCCACTTTCTTTTTTTTTTGGCAAAGTCAAAATAAAGTTTTGATTTGCAACTATAACAACAACCTATAACTGAGTTTTCTTCAATAGTATTGAGAGAAAATTTATTACGATTTAGTAACAATTACACGGATCACCGAAGGGAATTGTTATAAGGAAAAAATAGGGTCTTTGTTGCTACTGAAAATAACTCAACGGAAAATAGTTTGAAAATAAATTTCGAATATTTACTAGGATGGCTCCAAAGGTAATTACTTGTCTCAGATCCCATTTTCATATACTGTAAAAATTATATTGAAATTTAAACCTGACTTAAAATTGTTTAATTGTCCAATCCAAAGTATTTTATTTTGTCTTCTAATTTCCTAAAATTTTCGTTACATCCTAATACACATTTATTTATGTTCTAAATGTGTGTTTTATTTGTCTCGACCCATTGTGTATCACGTTTTAGCCATTTATTTATTTCTTTTGGCACCCAAGGGCTAAATAATTATAGCCAATTATAATGGTTAATAAATTTTTGAGAAAAAAATAATTGTTTTGTGAAGTTGTTTTCGTTGTCAAATAGATTTATCTAATTTATTGCCAATAAAAATAATAATAAATTATGTTTCGGTCTCTTCTCTCTTTTGCAGTACTATGAATTAATGGTTAAACACTGCCCATGGGGAAAACCAGGTGGAGGTGCCCCAAACATTGATATAAGGCGCAAGGATATAACAGCTGCTGGATTGCATTCAACACAACCAATTGTGAGTATAAACAAATAAAAAAGTAATACTATATTCAAGGTTTTATACTTCGCCAAAAATAATCTTCAAAAATCCTCTTCAAAAATATTCTTTAAAAATCCACGCCTAAAGGGCTCTTAATCCCTTGAAAAATATTCTTTAAAAATCCACGCCTAAAGGGCTCTTAATCCCATGAAAAATATTCTTTAAAAATCCACGCCTAAAGGGCTCTTAATCCCTTGAAAAATATTCTTTAAAAATCCACGCCTAAAGGGCTCTTAATCCCTTGAAAAATATTCTTTAAAAATCCACGCCTAAAGGGCTCTTAATCCCTTGAAAAATATTCTTTAAAAATCCATGCCTAAAGGGCTCTTAATCCCTTGAAAAATATTCTTTAAAAATCCACGCCTAAAGGGCTCTTAATCCCTTGAAAAATATTCTTTAAAAATCCACGCCTAAAGGGCTCTTAATCCCTTCAAAAATATTCTTTAAAAATCCACGCCTAAAGGGCTCTTAATCCCTTGAAAAATATTCTTTAAAAATCCACGCCTAAAGGGCTCTTAATCCCTTGAAAAATATTCTTTAAAAATCCACGCCTAAAGGGCTCTTAATCCCTTGAAAAATATTCTTTAAAAATCCACGCCTAAAGGGCTCTTAATCCCTTGAAAAATATTCTTTAAAAATCCACGCCTAAAGGGCTCTTAATCCCTTGAAAAATATTCTTTAAAAATCCACGCCTAAAGGGCTCTTAATCCCTTGAAAAATATTCTTTAAAAATCCACGCCTAAAGGGCTCTTAATCCCTTGAAAAATATTCTTTAAAAATCCACTCCTAAAGTGCTCTTAATCCCTTCAAAAATATTCTTTAAAAATCCACGCCTAAAGGCCTCTTAATCCCTTAAAAAATATTCTTTAAAAATCCACGCCTAAAGGCCTCTTAATCCCTTAAAAAATATTCTTTAAAAATCCACGCCTAAAGGCCTCTTAATCTCTTAAAAAATATTCTTTAAAAATCCACGCCTAAAGGCCTCTTAATCCCTTAAAAAAATATTCTTTAAAAATCCACGCCTAAAGGCCTCTTAATGCCTCCAAAAATATTCTTTAAAAATCCACGCCTAAAGGCCTCTTAATCCCTTAAAAAATATTCTTTAAAAATCCACGCCTAAAGGCCTCTTAATGCCTCCAAAAATATTCTTTAAAAATCCACGCCTAAAGGCCTCTTAATCCCTTAAAAAAATATTCTTTAAAAATCCACGCCTAAAGGCCTCTTAATGCCTCCAAAAATATTCTTTAAAAATCCACGCCTAAAGGCCTCTTAATGCCTCCAAAAATATTCTTTAAAAATCCACGCCTAAAGGCCTCTTAATGCCTCCAAAAATATTCTTTAAAAATCCACGCCTAAAGGCCTCTTAATGCCTCCAAAAATATTCTTTAAAAATCCACGCCTAAAGGCCTCTTAATGCCTCCAAAAATATTCTTTAAAAATCCACGCCTAAAGGCCTCTTAATGCCTCCAAAAATATTCTTTAAAAATCCACGCCTAAAGGCCTCTTAATGCCTCCAAAAATATTCTTTAAAAATCCACGCCTAAAGGCCTCTTAATGCCTCCAAAAATATTCTTTAAAAATCCACGCCTAAAGGCCTCTTAATGCCTCCAAAAATATTCTTTAAAAATCCACGCCTAAAGGCCTCTTAATGCCTCCAAAAATATTCTTTAAAAATCCACGCCTAAAGGCCTCTTAATGCCTCCAAAAATATTCTTTAAAAATCCACGCCTAAAGGCCTCTTAATCCCTTAAAAAATATTCTTTAAAAATCCACGCCTAAAGGCCTCTTAATCCCTTAAAAAATATTCTTTAAAAAATCACGCCTAAAGGCCTCTTAATCCCTTAAAAAATATTCTTTAAAAATCCACGCCTAAAGGCCTCTTAATCCCTTAAAAAATATTCTTTAAAAATCCACGCCTAAAGGCCTCTTAATTCCTTCAAAAATATTACTTAAGGCCTCATATACTAAGGCCTCATTCTCCCTTAAAATTTTAAATAAATCCGAACCTGATTTTTAAAATCCTTTATTTCAGAGTACAACCCATCGTTTGGCCTCACTGCCTCCCTGTCGTTTCAGTGATTATTTTCTCAAACACAAACGATGCTTCGATCCCGGTGCAGCCTATCATCCGCATCACTATCATCATCATTCGGTGCCACGTCTGACCACTCACACCCATACAGTCCAGCATGTATCCGATCGTCCGGTAATAGGTGGGGCCACCAGTATGGTAACCTTGTGTGATATACCCACAACAGCTACCAGTGGAGCTGGTGGTCCAACACCTGCTGGTGGTAAGAATGCCGAAAGTTTACAAATCACCCTTAAAGATCACCCCTCAATGTCGTTTCGTAATAAAGGTCATGTAGACATTGAAGTCCGTTATAAGCCGACAGCGGCCGGTAAGGGTAAACCAATGTTGGAGAAAATTGTAGTCACCGAAAGTGATAAATGTCCAATTGTAGAAGAGAAACGGGGCTGTGGGGCTTCAGTGGGTCCACATGGTTTGAAGCAGAAGAAAACGTTGGAGAAAATCGAGAAACCGGTGAGAATGGTTTACTGCATGCCCATGTGTGTACGCTTGTGATATTATTTGTTGTTGTTTTTCTTGTTCTTCTCCTCCTTTTTCTTCTTTCTATGTTTGGTATTTTGTATTAGGCTAGCAAAGATCCCTGGGGTAAACCGGGTCCGGGTGGCAAACCATGGCGTAGTCCCAAATCGGTGGGAACGACTTTTATGAAGTCACTGGTATGTTGGGAGGGAAGTAGGGATTTTCGAACGGGACCAGTAATAAGAGTCCCCACCATTCGTGGTAGATGACTATGCGGTTTCATTGTTTCCTATATAATTTTTCTTATAAGTTAGATTATCCTTGTAAAATCTTATGAAATCTCTCTTTTTTATTTCAGGGTTGGACCAACAAAGAAATGCTCAAAGAATTGGATCAGGATAATCCCGTTACCCCAGCCGAAAAGCCCACATTCCGTAAATCCCGTGCCACACGAAAAGCCACCCGCTGTTGTGACATGTGTACATGTAAGTGCCCGGCCATGACAAGTAGTCCCATTAAACCGCTACAAAAAACTGCAGCACCTGCAAAATCGACAATAACAGCAGCAAATGAAACGAAACCGAAAATCTGTCCACGAATGATGCGTCATAACAAGGCTGCTGCCACTGCTGATACCACAACTGATAATAGCGCTCATCCCACAAATAGACAATGTCATGGTGGTGATGCCACAGCCACCATCACCACCAATGGTAATGGTGTGGAATTGGTGCCACTGTTGGCACGTCGTCGTGCCTATAATCGCCCCATTAGTCTTTCGACAACGGACATAACAAAGCGAACAGCCTCCAATGATAGGTACGCATCCAAAATGCCACAAAAGTGTCACCACAGCAACATCTGTCTGAACAATCTGCAACAGAGCTGCAACAATAACAATAGCAATAACAACAACAACCATAAAATCAATAACATTGCCACCACATGTTGCTTGAAAAAGTTCACATTGCATATTCGTTAGTTTGTTGTTTTCGTTTTTTCTCAGTAGTTTAGAAAAAGTTTGTAGAAATATTTTAAAACAATTTTGAAAATTAAGAAAAAAATACATAATGATTTCGAAGTGTAAGATTTCAAAATTTCCTAATTATTCAGAGAGATTGGCATTTCAATTATGGATGTATCGTTTATCTTTGTAGTTTGTTGTAGTTGTTTGTAAAGTCATTTCAAATCATATCCCAAATTCATTGAACATATTTCATCATTAATAGAAATCATTTCATATAAATATTTCCAATAAAATGCGACATCTTAATAAAAGATTTCCCATATAGGGCAGACAGAAACCTTTTATAGATAAACAAACATTTATATGCCTTCATTCAGAATTAATAGCCCCACATTTTTTTATAAAAATCAAAGACTAAAGGCCTCATAGCCACTGAGAAAAATATTTTTTAATAAAAATTCTCAAAGAATAATTCCTTAAAATCTGCTCTTCAATTTCTAACAATTAATTTATATCCGTTAAAATCCACAATTAAATGTCGAATAGCCCCTCAAATATTCCCATGAGATGTCCGCTATTCAAGGAATATTAATCCCTTGAAAATATGCCTTATACGATCTAATAGTCCCAGGAAAAGAATTAACTTAAAAATCCACGCTTAATAACAATATTTTTTCCCCTCCAAAATATTTTTTGAAAATTTAAGATTTAATATTCCCTCAAAAATATCGCTAAAAATCCAAGATAAAATGTCTACAATCTCTGGATATTTCAAAAACCCCATGCTTAAAGGTGTACGTGTAATGGCCTAATAGTCCTTACTAAACGTTAAGTTCTGTCGGGCCTTTTTTATATCCTCCAAGATGAAATGGATTGGTAAATTTTTTGTAGGAAGATTTCTCATCCAATGAGAAATAAATTATACCCAATTCTGGTAAAAAAGGGTTCATAATCCCCAAAATATCGAAATAAACCTGGTTGCCGTTATATTGAGGATATCGTAAAAACGACACCAAACTAGATTCAAAATACCAAAGTACCATACCTGGAAGATTCTGTTATATGCGGGCTGTCATAAAAAGTGTACCAATATTGTTAATTTTTGACTTTTGTTACACTCCACCATAGGTATACTGACAGTTACTTGCAATGAAGATTCCAAAATAACGTGGTGTTGAGGATTTTTCCTAAGTCGGAGTCGATTTCTAAATGTGGACCGATATAGCTCATTTTCGAATCTAACCTTTAAGTTTTGTGTCTTGATACCCTCCGAATTCAATATTGTTTAGGGTATAAACTGACAACGTTATATATAGGGACAACCTCAAAACGCGATACCAATCAGAGACATTTTATTTTAAACGAATTCAGTTGACGCCCGCGTTCAATAACCATAAGATACTGAAAATTTGGGGAGTACCGTTGTATGGGAGATACCTCGAAAATTGAACCAATGTTGATAATTTTTGGTGGGACGATTTTGTACCCAATCAAAGCTCAGCACACCAAACTATAAGTAATTCGATCAAATTTGTCAAAAAATTTGATCGAATTCGGAGATTATGGGGGTACCATAATTTATAAAGTTTAAAATAGTGTCCAAAATCGCTGAAATGCCGTAATCTTGAAGGTACTATTATATATTGGGGCTACCAAAGCGTAGCTATATCGATCCACGCTTTGGTAGCCCCCATACAATGGCACCTCCAATTTTGCGTTATTTAAGGGAACTTGACCTGTCTGCAGTCAAAAAAAACCTATGAAAAATTTTATCACTATATCTCAATTCCTTCAGATGATAGCGGGTAGTTCGTCTTAGAATTTGACCCTGATTCAGAATATATATATATATATATATATATGGGGTCAGAAATAATATTTCGATGAGTTATAAATGGAATAACGAAATTTATATACCCTCCATACTCCTGTGCATAAAAATCAATTTTGAAAGGACTAATGGCCTCTCAAAAATTCTGTCTTTTAAATGATTATTTCTTTTAAATAGTATTTTCTGAAGAACCAGCAGATCGATTGACGTGGATTTTTAAAGAAAAATTTCAGCAGGGCCAGCAGATAAATTAGCGTGAATTTGCAAAGGATATTTTCTGAATAACCTTTTAAGCGTGAGTTTTTAAGACATACACACATTCTGAAGTATCAGCAGAACAAGAAGCACATATTTTTTCTAAGAAACCGTGAGACAAAGAAAAGCTGATTTTCATTTTCAAGCGAGGATTTTTGAAGAAGATATTCTGAAGAACAGACTGGAAGCCTGAGTTTATGTAAGATATTTTGGAACATTTATTTTTAGTGAATATATTCTGAAGGATATATAGAAGTAGGAATGACCTGAAAATTTGAAAAGAATAGGAATGACCTGAAATTTTGAAAATAATATATATTTAAGTCTAGAATGATGTGTGTTAAATTTCCTGAAATCGTTGAAATCGGTTCAGATTTAGATATAGCTTCTATATCTGACCAAATGAAAAAATTAGTATAGGTTACAGAATGAAATGTTTATGGATCCAATTTCGTTTTGCTGGTCCTTTAAAAATGCGACGTCTGTTAGGATTTATCTGTTGAATATATCCAAAGTGGTGAAGGGATCATATAGTCGGCCCCGTCCGACTTTACTACTTTCCTTACTGGTTTAATTTACATTTTCTGGACCAGTATATCGGACAGTGTCGATTTTTAAAGAAAATTTCATCGATTTTTTAAAAAGACGCTGCAGGGTATTGTGTCTTTGTGTATATGTTTGCAAGAGGCAAAAGGAAAGGATAATCACTTTCTGAGTCGATTTATGCATGTTCGTCCGTCTGTCTGTACATGTTAAATTGTAAAAAATGCGAACTCGATGAAATTTGGCACAGCTCATTTATTTGGCCCAAGCAAAAACCTTATTGAAATTGGGAAAAATCCCATATATATTTTCGTCCGATTTTATGTAAATTGTGCACTATAGACCCAAAGTGTGTCCGATTGGCACACAATTTTGTACTATGTACTGAAGTTAATATAAATTAATCTCTGGCAAGTTTCGTTGAAATCGGTTCAGATTTTAGGTTGCACCAAACTCCTAATGTTTGTCCGATTGACACGAAATTTTTCACAACGTATAAAATTGAGACTATAATGTCTAGGGTGTCTTATTAAGACCGAATTGCGTGTGTTAATTTTGATTAACATCGATTTATTCTCTGAAGAACCAGTAGATCTAGCATAGTCTTGTAAAACATATTTTCGGGAGATCCAAAAAAAAAAAAAAAAACCAGTGAGCGGAGCAGTATAGTCGGACGGGGCCGACCATACGATACCCTACACAACTACCACGGAACTCATATTTTCTGCGGATGTTTATTCCGAGACTGGGCAATATTTCGTGAAATTTGCACCCTCTTGCCCGATTAGAGGTAAACAGCACCTCTTCCTCACACTGACATATTTTCCGAATATTACGAGTATTCAGTACAGCTATTGTCCAGATTCCCTTCACCGTGGGTTGTGTTGTGATGTTCAGCTTTCATTTGAGGTCTATAGATCGACTCGAGAATAACACAAAAAATTAAGTTTTCGGTCCACTTCATTCCAAAATTATTATCTGATCATCACCGAAAATTATAGGCGTTGTCCTTGACCATAACTGGAACCTCATGGAACATTTCAAAGCGATCAGCGCTATAATTCCGCTCTCCAGAGTGATAATGGGTTACTAAATAATATACGAATACGGAGATACCTGTAAATATTTAGGTGTAACTCCCACATCCGAGCACATACAACAATATAATTGGTCTCAAGTTAAAGGTCAACCACTCCTCTAAGATATAATATCAACTTCTCGGGTATATGTCCTTCAGGGGCAAATATATACGCCATAGAATACAAATTTTGTCATTTTTCACACAAAAGTCAGGGTCCATTTGACCCGCTAAATATTGACCGATCTTTCTCCAAACTGGCATGCTTATTCTTTGGCCCGATCCGCTTCTCCATGCAAAATTTCACGATGTTCGGACCATTGTTGCGGCCTCTGGAGCGACCAGAAAAACCGACAAAAATTTAGTATTTGGTCCATTTCATCCCCTAAATATTAACCGATCTTTCCCAAAAACAATAGGGGTCTTCATTGGCCAGAACCCATCCTACATGCAAAATTTAGTGAAGATTGGTCCATAACTGTGGCCTGTATCGTGTTTACAAATTATAATGGACAGACGGACGGACGGACACACATGTCTAGATCGACTCAGCTAGTCGAGATATGACGATCGGTATACTTAAAGATGGGTCTAGGACCAATATTTCGCGGCGTTACAAACTTTTGGGGCTGCACAAAGCTATAATACCCTGACAACATAGTTGTGTAGGGTATAAAAATGCTGGAAGACCCATTAGGTTTGACAAAATCGGAAAGTCGACTTTTTAGTCAAATGGAAAAATCGAAATATCTAAAAGTCGAATTTTACGTTCAACTACGTATCCCAATAACGATCCAGGGGACCTTTAGATCAGATAACAAAACACCAAATCGATAAACGTGGATTTTTTTAAGAATATTTTTCGAAGAAACCAGCAGTCCTATGAGCTGGGATTTTTATACCCTTCGCCTAATAACCATAAAGCGAAAGGTATAAACATCCAAGCCTTTGAGCCCCCAATCGTTCCCGTTATCATAGAACGATTTTCTGTGCAAAGATTTAATGCAACTATCATAAATGGGATATGAACAAAATTTGACCTCGGCACATTCTTGCGTTCCGGAAATTCAATATATTCTTTCCGAGAAATAAAAATCCCATATTAAGAAAAGCAAATAGAATATCGGCCAAAAAATCACTGGATTTAAATCAACTATAGACTATATATAGGCTTATCTCTAGACAAATACGTAGATTTTGGAAATATTCGTCCAACGTCTCATCTAGATTCGCCGAATTTTTTTCTGATGACGGGACAGAGTTTTTGGAGGATGATAAGCATATTGGCCAAAAATAAAAAATTTAAATAAACCCATATTAGGCACATCCCCAATATAAATGTCCGGTCCCTTTCTTAAATATGACTGTAATTTGGCATACCGGATTCATGGAGGCAAAAAATCTTTAAAGAAATTTGACGATATCTGATGTTTTATGTTTTGTCAAGTTCTTAGTCCAGCATATAACCTGATTGCCTGTAAACGAAGAACCTAACCTAGTTGAGCATGGCCGAACATTACTATGTTTTTACTTGTTAAATACATTTTTCTGAATTGTGCATGTTTATGTTGAAGGCATATAGAGAATGTTAATGTTATTTAAAATCTTTATCTTATCATCTTGCATGCATGAACATGACGTTTTATAATTGAAACCCCATTCAACATCATAAAAAAAACTGTAAATATTTGCAGATCTAAGCTTTTTCCACTTTTCATTACATATTCATAATTGTTGTGTGAAATGTCTTTCCATTTCTTTGATATATCTATTTGTCTATTTTTCTTCTTCTTCTCTTTTTACAAATATCTATGTGTGCGTGTCTTAATACAATTGCTTTATTTATATATGTGTGCCTTTAAATGTTATTAAATAAAAACTCCATAGAATTGTAACGATTGTAATTCAATTAAAATTGAAGAAAAATTAATTAGATACATCATCAGCAAAAATAACAACAACTACAACTACAAGAAAACAGCCAACTATAAATAAACTCATCAGACAGAATCTCTCATCATTACTCTGAAATAATTTCAAGAATTTAGGTTAGCAAATTAATTACTAGGAATTGTAATAATGCTTAGAGCTAAAAAAACAAAGCAAAAAAGAAACAATTAATCTACTCAACTTCTAAAACCAGAAACTAACATTTATTTCAACTTATCCGCAACATTTATCCACCCAAACAACCAATCCATTCATACATCACCGACATCACTGATTCTGAATAAAACATTGCAATTCAATCAACAACAAAAACAACAAATCACCAAACAAAACCAACAACTGCCGTCATATCAAATTACTGGCCATCATTTCAACGGCTGCCAATAAAACTGACTCACTACCCTGCTACAACTGCAACAAATTGCTGGTCGTCCTCGTTGCCACCACCAAACATTAGACTCCATACTTCGGATGGTATTGGAGTTTCATCGAATCTATTGTATCAGCATGACCTCAACACCCAGGTAGCCATGAAACGACGTTCAATCAGTTTGGCTCGCCAGTATGACCGGGAATTGGCCAATCAACACTTTATGACCTTTGATACGTTTTGGGGTCGGCCAGGTCATGGCGCCCAGGCGGGCACAACGAGAAAATTAAAATTGAATAATTTACTTTACGGGACACCAGGTTGTACATCGGACTAGCGATGGTGTTACACACACAACAACAACAACAGCGGCAACAACCATAACGACAGTTCCCTTGCCGCTGTGAAACCCGAAGTTGGACCTCTGCATACATATTGCCGTGTTTAATTTTTTAATAGAATAAGTTAATTATTTGTTTTTGTTATTAACACTGTCACATCATTATTTGTAGAGTGTCGTATGCCATAGTCTGCATCAGAATGGTGCAGAATGGCCATTTTAATTATGTTTAAATGTTTAAGTCCGTATGTATGTATTTTCCCCGCTATTCATCTCTCCTATTAGATCTTAAGCCAATTGTAAAGGAAACTTTTATCAACTTTCCCCGTAGAAAGATGTTAAAATGTTGCAAAAAATCCAAAACGACGGGCAGACATACCATCTGACAGATATTGCACTATAATATCAACTAGAAAATATAGAGATGACGAATGGGAAATATTGAAGAATTAAAAAATAAATTCTCACTAAAATATATGATCATCTAAAGAGAGAAGATCTTCTAAAAGACCTGTAAAATTATTCTAAGGAAAAATGACCTTTTATAGGTTTTCCAAGAAAAGAACACCATTTATGGGTCCTCTAAAAATAGGGGGTCTTTTATAGGTCCTCTAAATATAGAAGATCGTTTGCGGTTTATCTTTTTATAACGAATCTTCTGTATGCTATAGATGACCTTCTATAGCACAAGGAATCTCGTGTCTATATAACGAGCTTCCTGTAGGTCCTCTTATGTAAAGGAACTTCTAAAGGTTCTCTGCATATAGACGACATTTTATATATATACAACCTATAGGATTTCGATATTTATGGAGGAACATCTAGAGGCTCTCTATTCATTAATAATCGTCAAAAGGATATCTACATGTTGAGGATCTTTTATCGATTCTTTATGTATAGAGGAACTTCTATAAGTAATCTACAGATAGATGACCTTCCATAGGTCATCTACAAATAGAGGACCTTATATAGATCCTCTACAGATAGAGGATACAGTATCTCTATACATCCTCTACAGAATGAGGACTTTCTATAAGATAGAGGTTATCAAGAGATAGAAGTCCTTCATAGATGGATGACCTTCTATGTAAACTGAACCTACAAAAGGTCCTTTTCTATAAAGGACTTAGAAGGTCATCAAAGTTTTTTATACAAGATTCCTCTATTTACAGAAGATCCATTAAAGAGCTTTATATGGTCTCCTACAAATGGTGCCTGTATAAAATGGACTTGTAGAAGTTCGTCTATGTATTTTCAGGTTCATTTCTTTAAAACAACGAGGGCTACTATATATATTTCTGGGCTAATAATGGAAATCACATCTTTCATAAATTATATATATTATTGCTCAGAATCAAATATATGTCGGTTTAGTGCTACTTCTTACTACATGTTCGGCATTTAAAATGGAATATATTTTAGTCCACGTATTGGCACAGACCCCGGTACCACAACCGCACAAGAGTCGATTTTTTTGGTATTTTGGGTCTCGTTTCTCAATCGCTTAGCTGCGATTTGGTACTTAGGGTTTCTAATTGGGTAGCAAATGCACCTACCAGAAAATTTCCACCAACCAAATTTTCCTAGTTTGGAGAATTACGAAGTAGCTGTAATTTGGTACACCGTTCAGGGTCGAAGTCTAATTTTCAATCAAAGTGTCTATATTTGGTATTCTTGGCCCCAATTTAGAACAGGTATTTTGTATGTCCACCTCATGGTGAAGGGATGACATGTTAGACCCATACTTTATCGTTTTCTGTCGAAGAACTTTTTCCACTCCGATTGAGTCACCTCTAAGACATGGCTCTTGAACGTCGAAAGCGACGCTTTTCTGGAGACGAATATCTTTTACCACGCATTTCTGTATCTGCGAGATTAAAAATAAGTCATAGGGCTGATGACCCATCAATTGCATATGGTGGTCGGTCATTTTTGTCGCTGGCATTGTTTCGTTTCCTATTCTATTTCTTTCAATTTTTGGCAAAGATTTTCGGGTTGCAAAGATGATGAGCCATCAATTTCGCATTTTGACCGTTCCAAAAAAGCTGCCTTGAGCCGATGTGTGAGATCTCGCATAATCATGGTGCCCAGTGATTCCTTTCTTATTCATCGCTATTCGATTGTTTTCTTAAGACTTCAGACAGATGTGCGGGAATAAAATGAAGTCTTAGGATAACGAATCAGTGCTATACGGCTCTTCCGTCCTAACGACTACACTTTTTGGCGGCTGAAAAACGTACAGTTGTAGACGATATGAGAGAGATCGCTCTTCAAAATCAGGAGCTGTATGGGTAATCCGCTGCACCAAATCTATGTGTTTACCATTGTAAAACGATCGGGTTTGAGTCGATGTGTGCAAGCTTGCATTGTCATCTTGGACAATAAGGCGTCTTCTCTTATTCGTTTTCGAATTTCTACGAAGACTTCAAACCGTTATGCGGGAATAAAAAGAAACCATAAGGTGTCAAGTCTGGTTTATAATTCCACATTTTGACCGGTCACTTTTGGTGCTGGTTTGAGCCGATGTGTGAGAGATCTATTTACTATGGTGTACAGTGAATCGAACAAAACCTTTATTATATTTGGGTCTTCGAAGACTCACACGGTCGCTTCCATATTTTTCAAAATTCATTTGCATCCATGCCTTTTTTAGCGATTTTCACATTTGCTGAATTTTTATTGCCCTCCTTACCATGGATTCTAAGTAATTTCCCGACTTTGCGAATTGTTGACAGGCCTAGGGCTAGTTAGGTCGTAACAAAACCCGTCAAAAGTTGTCTCACGAAAATGTTTTACTGATTCTAAGAAACACAACACATTGTCATACGTCAGAACATACTGAGCTCCTTTATTCTAAAAAATGTCAATCTTTTTAAATCTCAGATGACACCAGGCCTATGTCAGAAATATATATGTGTGGTAGCCAACATATCTCCCTCTTCGACATCTCTATTAACCAAATAAAAAGAAATATTCCTAAAGGTAATAGTTTTGAACTATTTCACTTGTAAAGAACACGACGAACATGGCAATAACTGTAACACACAAAAAACAACAACATATATATATATATATATATATATATATAATAAGTTCCGAAAAAACTGAAACATTGTTATGGCTTTTTTTGTTAAATTTTTATACCCTACACAACTATGTTGTCAGGGTATTATAGCTTTGTGCAGCCCCAAATGTTTGTAACGCCGCGAAATATTGCTCATAGACCCACCTTTAAGTATACCGATCGTCATATCTCGACTAGCTGAGTCGATAGAGACATGTGTGTCCGTCCGTCCGTCCGTCCGTCTGTCCATTATAATTTGTAAACACGATACAGGCCACAGTTATGGACCAATCTTCACGAAATTTTGCATGTAGGTTGGGTTCTGGCCAATGAAGACCCCTATTGTTTTTGGAAAAGATCGGTTAATATTTAGGGGATGAAATGGACCAAATACTAAATTTTTGTCGGTTTTTCTGGTCGCTCCAGAGGCCGCAATAATGGCCCGAACATCGTGAAATTTTCCATGGAGAAGGGGATCGGGCCAAAGAATAAGCATGCCTGTTTTTATAAAGATCGGTCAATATTTAGCGGGTCAAATGGACCCTGACTTTTGTGTGAAAAATTACAAAATTTGTATTATATAGCGTATATATTTACCCCTGAAGGACATAGACCCGAGAAGTTTATATTATATCCAAGAGGAGTCGTTGACCTTTAAATTAATACCAATTATATTGTTGTATGTGGTCGGATGTGGGAGTTACACCTAAATATTTACAGGTATCTCCGTATTCGTATATTATTTAGTAAGCCATTATCACTCTAGAGAGCGGAACTATAGCGCAGATCGCTTTGAAATGTTCCAAGAGGTTCCAGTTATGGTCAAGAATAACGCCTATAATTTTCGGTGATGATCAGACAATAATTTTGGAATGAAGTGGAGCGAAAACTTAATTTTTGGTGTTATTTTCGAGTCGATCTATAGACCACAAATGAAAGCCGAACATCACAACACAACCCACGGTGAAGGGAATCTGGACAATAGCTGTACTGAATACTCGTAATATTCGGAAAATATGTCAGTGTGAGAAAGAGGTGCTGTTTACCTCTAATCGGGCAAGAGGGTGCAAATTTCACGAAATATTGCCCAGGCTCGGAATAAACATCCACGACAATTTGAGTTCCGTGGTAGTTGTGTAGGGTATCGTATGGTCGGGCCCGTCCGACTATACTGCTCCGCTCACTGGTTTTTTTTTAATTTTGTGTGAGAGTTTTTTTTTTGGAATTTTCCATTATATTACGTACAGAAATTCCTAAGTGTTTTTTTTGTTCATAATTTTGCACATTTTATGTCGCACACACGCATACTCACACAGACTTAAAAATAAAGTTTGAGAAATTTCTTAGTGGCATAGAAAAACATAATTTAATTTAAAATGTACATAATGAAAATGTATTAAGAAAATGTTTAAATAAATGTGGAAAAGAAAATTTGATATACAAAACTGAAGATGTTTTAAATTAAAATTCCATAAAATTTGAAAAACATGGACCTGACGTGAATGATGACAGATTAATGGTTATTTTATACAGAGTGGAACAGTAATATTTTCAAGGGCCAACAATGCAAAGGGCAAAGATTTTTTAAAGAATATTTTTCAACCCACCATCAAGGCTGTAGGCATGGATTTCTTAAAGAATATTTTCGTAGGACCTAAAAGGCTATAGGCGTGGCTTTTATAAAGAATATTTTCGTAGGACCATCAAGGCTATAGGCGTGGATTTCTTAAAGAATATTTTTGTAGGACCATCAAGGCTATAGGCGTGGATTTCTTAAAGAATATTTTTGTAGGACCATCAAGGCTATAGGCGTGGATTTCTTAAAGAATATTTTCATAGGACCATCAAGGCTATAGGCGTGGATTTCTTAAAGAATATTTTCGTAGGACCATCAAGGCTATAGGCGTGGATTTCTTAAATAATATTTTCATAG